TGTATTGCTACCAATGAGGATACCATACCAAAAATACAGGATATGGTCCACGAAACAGAGAAAAAGGAGTAAGGGAGAGTGACAGATGGGACAATGAGATGACAGATATGTACTACTAACATACATCCAGCAGATGTCACAATGCAACAAATCTGAGAAAGTCTCAGAGGGACAAAGCTCAATTGACATGGTTCATCTGTCATCACAATTCTTCCTCACCATGATAATGGCAGTCAGCAGAGCAGTGCTGGTGGTCATCACGAGGAAGCTGTCGATGAACCATGTGTGCCAGATGACTCCATTAGAGACGCCCATGGCCTTCAGCGTCTCCTTCAACCTCATCTCCTTCTCCAGCACAATGCTCTTCACAATCATGGACACTGAGTAGATCCAGGCCAGCACCATGAAGATGGGGAAACAGCGGTTTAGAGTCAGCATGAACCTTGACATAGGACAAAACAAAAAAGTTCCATTGGACATTGGCGTAATTGCAAGGTTTCATTGAGAACCATATGCCATGAAATAATGTGAATGAGTCAAATGTGATTATTTCTTGACTTCATTAAAATGGACTTGAAGATGCCCAAAAATGACAATTCTGTTATCATTTACACACCTTTTTGGCAATCTTTCTTCTGTGGAACATACAAGAAGATATTTTAAAGAATGTTGGTAATCAAACAGTGCCAGGTCCCTTCGACTTCAACTGAATGTTGAAAAAAATATAAAGGAAATCAATGGGATTGGAAAGTGTTTGGTTACCAACATTCTTTAAAATATATTTTGTGCTTGCAGAAGAAAGAAAGGCATACAGGTTTGGAACAACATGAAGGTAAGTGATGGCAGCATTTTCATTTTTGGGTGGACTATCCCTCTAAGCAGGTATGATATTATGGGATAGGGCCAGTTAGCACTTTCTGGCCTCATAATTTCAGCCGTCACTCACATGTCATCCACATAGCAGGGGTAGGGCATCTGCTGCAGGTAAACCCCTAAAGGCCAGTCATGACCTGTGTGTAACTTGAGGATTCCGTGTTCAATCATGTCCTGCAGGTAGGCAAAACCTCCCCAAATGTAGCGATGGTCCTCCACAGGGTCTGCCCTTGGGCCAGGGTCCCAGTACCTAAGAGAAACGGAGGGAAACTTTTATTTGGTGCTAATTCAGAAAGTTTTAAACATGAACAAGAACAAGAACACAAATGTTCTTGAGCTGACTAATAAAACTTTATAGAGTGTCACTGGGCTGCTCTGAGATGAACATACTTAAAATTCAGCCTTCTAGCTCACTGGGAAGATGTCTATAAAAGTCAATGTAACTTTAAGCCTCTAAATGTGTACTTTCAGGGGGTTAGTGAGATATATAAATATCCCAGCACCATGAAACTTTAGAGAGTGTTGGAGGGCTTGTTTGACATGACATGTAGAGAAATTCCAACCTCCTACTTTACTGGGAAGGCATCACAAAAAAGTCAAAGTCAAGAAGATTCTTGCATATTTAAAATAATGCTGAAATTTTGCAGTACTAAAAGCCTGAAAATGTTTTTCCACAATTCATAAAACATGTTTAAAATTAGTCCAAACAATTTCAATAGGAGTGGCAAAAATCACAATTTGTAATCAAATTCACATTGTTTGTTTATAGTGGCTGCACTTTGCATTATGCCCACATAATGAAAACACAATGAACCCACAGGCCCACAGTGTGATTCGATCCTTGGATATTTGTCTTCTTGTGTCAAAGAAGGACGGCTACAGTGAGATCTAACCAGACTAACACCTGCAGGCATGTTTTGTGCTCCAGAGAGACTCAGTAATGAGTGGTGTCATTTTGCACGGCACAGCACACTGGAGCTCCACGTAGGATGTATGATTGAGCCTGCTCTTTCTCATGCTCTAACAATAGTGTGTTGAGCAGTAACACCTTACATGAACAATTAAGAGAAGATCTTCTATTCTCTCCTTACACAATAAATTTTTTATATAAAAGATGAATCAGAACTTATAATCTAATGTTCCTTCAGTGTTCCCTCAACCCTGATCACATTAAAGTTAAAATGAGATTTTAAAGAGTTTAAACATTTGCTTGCCGTCCCTCAAACCATAAAACCTCATCATTAATTTTTATTATGATTTTGAAGAGTAGGCCTAAGTGCTAAATGCCAAAATGTTTTTTTCAAAATTGGCGATTGAGATGGATATTAAATAGATTCAGTTTGACTCTGCATCAGTGGTTTAATGGTCTCCACCCAGTCCTAAGGTACATAAGGAACAACCCTCATTAGATCAGATGAACAATGCAGTTTCGTTCGGTGCCTTGCTCAAGGGCACCTCAGTCATGGTATTGAAGGTGGGAGAGAGTGCTGGACATTCACTCCCCCCATCTACAATCCTTGCCGATACGAGACTCGAACCCGCAACCTTTGGGTTACGAGTCCGACTCTCTAACCATTAGGTCACGACTTCCTCCCAATGTGCACATTGGTATGTAAGAATGTCATGCTTTCAAGAGGCAGTAGCAGGCCTCTTGTTCTCAAAGCACACCAATGACATGGGAAATCACAGAGTCTGTGTTGGCTCTTCACTGGAGGACTGCTGTACAATAGCTAAGTGAACGGCTCGCTCTCACATCACATGCCACCGCACTAGAAACGAGAGGCCTCCTACTTCATGTGCACCATATCTAATGAAGTCATTCACAGTAATGTACAATGCCACCAGAGGTCCTGAACAAACAACTGAATGGAAAGATTCAATGGAACCCCTGCAGGACTCACATGTTCTCAACACATTTCAGTTGAAAAACACAACATTCACATTCAGAGGCACTCAGCTTGAGCTCATGGACTGAAAAACCACAAATACACCAAAATTCAGAGAACACAATTATATTTTTTCAGTGACCAATGATCCCGTAGCTCTTCAAGGTAACACTTGAGCAGGGCTGAGGAGTGACAGCTATAGCTAATAGGCTAAACGGGTAAGGTTTGTTTATAAAGCACGAAGGCTCGCTGTTTGGATGTAGACAGGGAGGCTGGGTCGCCCTATGATAGCCCTCTCCCACCATCGCCGTCCCACTCTAATCAATTTGCGGGAAGAGGCTTATGGGACAGGGGCCGGTCATGGCTTGGGAGGTGAGGTAACAGAGTGAAACTGAGTGATTTGCCCCTCTTGTTTCTCAATGAAGCCCCCCGTCCACAAAAAACAACACGGTGCTGGCAAAGGGTGGCTCTCCCACCCACTCCCCACTTAATCAAAGCCGCACAATAGAGAGGCCTGCATGCTGTTGACAGCTTGCTTGTTCTTTTCCCTTTCACCCATCTGGCCACGGTGGGCTCTATATAGCCATGCTAAGTGGTCTTTCTTGTGGTGATGTGCTGAGAGCAATCAGCGCTCTGCAGAATGAGAGCTGTGGTGCTCAGAGCTAAAGAGCCTCATTCTGTCAAGTGAGGAACAGATAGGCTGGTTTGTATGGAGATGCTCAACACGGAGGCATCGCTTGACATCGCGGAAAGGGCTGGAGCCCGAATCGGGACAGAGCTGAATGCTTTAGGGGCATAGTTAAAGGATGTAAATTAATTTTGACTCTATTTATGGATCATAAATAATATTTGCCAATATTAATATATTACAGTGCTAAATAATAATCCTTTCACTCCTATAATTCCTTTCATTCCTGCTTTCACTATTCCATCTGGCCACGGTGGGCTCTATATAGCCATGCTAAGTGGTCTTTCTTGTGGTGATGTGCTGAGAGCAATCAGCGCTCTGCAGAATGAGAGCTGTGGTGCTCAGAACTAAAGAGCCTCATTCTGTCAAGTGAGGAACAGATAGGCTGGTTTGTATGGAGATGCTCAACACGGGGGCATCGCTTGACATTGCGGAAAGGGCTGGAGCCCGAATCGGGACAGAGCTGAATGCTTTAGGGGCATAGTTAAAGGATGTAAATTAATTTTGACTCTATTTATGGATCATAAATAATATTTGCCAATATTAATATATTACAGTGCTAAATAATAATCCTTTCACTCCTATAATTCCTTTCATTCCTGCTTTCACTATCTAACTCCATTTGCTTTAGAATGAATCAGTTTTGTCAATGAATCTGTAGAGTGAAGGATTGTTTCGCTCTTGAATATATCAGTGTTGATATAAATGAATCAGTGTTTTTGAACAAATCTGTCGAGTAAAGTATTGTTTTGATCAAGAATGAATCAGTGTTTTTGAACAAATCTGTTGTGTGAATTTTTGTTTTGATCTGGAATGCATCAGTGTTTTTGAATGAATCTGTTGAATTGATTATTGTTTTGTTCCAGAATGAATCAGTGTTTTTGAATAAATTTGTTGAGTAAATTATTGTTTTGATCTAGAATGAATCAGTGTTTTTGAATGAATCTGCTGAATGAATTATTATTTTGATCTAGATTGAATAAGTGTTTCTGAACAAGTCTGTTGAGTAAATTATTGTTTTAATCTTGAATAAATCAGTGTTTTTGAACAAATTTATTGAGTAAATTGTTTAATTCTAGAATGAATCAGTATTTTGAACAAATCTGTTGAGTAAATTATTGTTTTGATCTAGAATGAATCAGTGTTTTTGAATGAATCTGTTGAATGAATTTTTGTTTTGTTCCAGAATGAATCAGTGTTTTTGTCTGTGGAACAAATGATTGTTTCACTCCAGTGTTTTTAAACAAATCAGTTTAATGACAGACAGTCACTTGTCACCACCTACGGGTGGAACAACTGCAGAAAGAGTCATTGTAAAGTTATGTGCCAAAATAATATATTACAGTGCTAAATAACATTCATTTTGGTTTTAAATGCACACTCCACTTGTGGAAGTGTTTGTAAGCTGAAAAATGCTGAAACTGGTTTCAAACAAGATATGTTTGCATAAAATGTTTTTACATGTCATTCAGACTACTAAAATATCATCTGGTTCGGTTCTAAAGGAAACGTGAGGTGTTTTAAAAGAGTACATTTACTAAATGCCATTTTTGTCAGTTCTAACTAACTTATCCCTAAACCTAAATTGAATTGATGACTGCCCTTACCTCACTGTACCGGTTGAACATACGAATAACCTGATCAGCCAGACTAAAGACGTTTCTCCAGTCAAAGTTTGTCATGTTCATATATCTGTCCTGCTCTGGGCCATTGTGCAGGAAGTTAAGGATGTCTTTGGAGGACAACTGTGTTTCTTTAAGACGCCTGTCCAAAAAGTCCATCACTGTGGGGTTTCTAAGTGTGTCCTGCAGTGGGTTGGAAAGAGAGAGAGACAGTTGTGAAAACGGTTGTGCTGCTTAGTTTTTGTGGAAACCACAATACATTTTTTTGTTTTACTTTGATTAATAGAAAGTTCAAAAGAACGGCATTCATTTGAAATAGAAATCTTTTGTAACATTATAATTGTTTTTACTGTAACCTTTGATCAATGTAATGCATCCTTGCTTAATTTAATTTCTTACAAAAAATTCTTACAGACCCAAATATTTTAACTGTAGTGTATACAAAGACAGTATTTAAGAATTAAATCACTTATAGATACGTATCATGACAGATAATAAAATATAACAACCTAATCTCATGACAGATTACACAGAGACCAAAGGAGGACAGTGGATTGTATATTCAGGAGATTATTGGAATAATGTGGCATGTGAAGGGATAAAGGGAGGTGTGTGTGCATGTGTGTATGAGATGAAAAGAAACAGATACATTACCCGTATCATGTTCATTTGAACGCTGTTCTGAAAGAATTCCCAGAGCTGCGGACCCACCTCTTCCCAGACCTTCCCCATTTTCTGCAACCTCTCTAGCTCCTCAAAAGTAGTGTTGGCCTGGACAAAACATACACACACAAATTCATATGGATTGTCAGCATCACACTGTATATGTACAGGGCACCTTAACCTGTCTACAGGGATGCACAATAACAAAACAACTGACTCAGCAATGTTCCAGCTCATTGAAACAAAAACAACAATCCAGATGGAAAAAAATATAAGTGTAGCCTTGACACACATAATTTAATTGAAGCACACAATATGCTCTTTGGATCATCTCAAATAATGCTGGAGAACATGATATTCAGGTTTTGCACAAATTTGTGGAGTTCGAGTGCTGCTGTCATTAAAGAAAAAGTAGCATTTTCAATGGTGGTCAAAATTGTGGGATTGGTCACTTCAGTTACTGAAGTTACTATCAGTTACTTTTTTCAGTAAGGTTGCATTAAACTGATCAAAAGTGACAGAAAAGACATTCGTAAGATTGTATTTATTTGTATTTCATATAAATGTTGTTCTTTTGAGCTTTCAAAGAATCTGAAAAATGTATCATGGTTTCCATGATAAAAAATATTAAACAGTGCAACTGTTTATCAACATGATAGTAATAAGAAACATTTCTTGAGCACCAAATCAGCATATTAGAATGATTTCGGAATCATATGACACTGAAGATTTGAGAAATGGCTTATGAAAATTCAGTTTTGCCATCACAGGAATTAATAACATGTTAAAATATATAAAAATAGAAAACCGCTACTTTAAATTGTAATAATATTTCACAATATTACAGCTTTTACTGTATTTTTGATCAAATAAATGCATGGTGAGCATAAGTGACAACTTCTAAAAACATTTTAAAAATCTTACCGACACCCCAAACATGTGTATGTAGTGTATGGTTTGATTGTCAGTGGTTACAAGACAGTGCATGTGTGAAAGTAGCCACTTTTTAATATCTTTCTGACAGCTGGGGAGTCTGGGGTGTAGAGGATCTTCCCCATCACCAGAGGCTTCACTGAATTCCACATGATTTTCATAACAGGGTTCGACTCTAGGTTCTGCATCAATGCATTACAAAATGGAGCTGTGGGCCAAAGAGAGAGTGAAAGAGAAACAGAGCAAGAAAAAGAAAATAGAAAACCGCTACTTTAAATTGTAATAATATTTCACAATATTACAGCTTTTACTGTATTTTTGATCAAATAAATGCATGGTGAGCATAAGTGACAACTTCTAAAAACATTTTAAAAATCTTACCGACACCCCAAACATGTGTATGTAGTGTATGGTTTGATTGTCAGTGGTTACAAGACATTTGGATATTTGTATCTTACACTTTTTAATATCTTTCTGACAGCTGGGGAGTCTGGGGTGTAGAGGATCTTCCCCATCACCAGAGGCTTCACTGAATTCCACATGATTTTCATAACAGGGTTCGACTCTAGGTTCTGCATCAATGCATTACAAAATGGAGCTGTGGGCCAAAGAGAGAGTGAAAGAGAAACAGAGCAAGAAAAAGAAAGTGAAAAGAGAAATTAGAACAAAGCGAAAGTGAAAGAGAGAAAAAAGTGAAATCAACAGAACAGACAGATCAATAGCTCTCACTTGCTGTCGTGTCATAGGTGTAGCTGTCGTGTCCTCTGGAGCTGTTGATGCCTAGGAAAGCCTTGTAGTTGTTGTCCTCATACCAATTAAAGGAGAAGACCCGGGTGATCTCACCCTCTGGGTATCCGCAGAAGAGATCCGATACAGTGGACATCAGCTGACTTAAGGACGAGGGACCCCCGGACTGGAAGATGGAGTACATAACCCGCATCAAGTCCTGGGAGCTGGGCCTCTCCACAAGCTGTGAGAGGAAGGCCATTTTAGTAAATATAAACTTTTACAGCCTGATTTTAAAAATAAACTATACATAGCAGCTACAGTATGTTAATTTATGTATGGGCCTTAAATGCATCAGGGCATGATAGCTGGAGGAAGTCAAGATTTTCACTACAAATCATATGATAATATTAGAATGCTTTAAAGAACTTTTTGAGCTTGAGTCACCAACTACTTTCATTTGATGGGAAATAGCAACTTGGACATTCTGCTGAACATCTCCTTTAGTTATTCAAAGAAAATCACTTGCTGTCGTGTCATAGGTGTAGCTGTCGTGTCCTCTGGAGCTGTTGATGCCTAGGAAAGCCTTGTAGTTGTTGTCCTCATACCAATTAAAGGAGAAGACCCGGGTGATCTCACCCTCTGGGTATCCGCAGAAGAGATCCGATACAGTGGACATCAGCTGACTTAAGGACGAGGGACCCCCGGACTGGAAGATGGAGTACATAACCCGCATCAAGTCCTGGGAGCTGGGCCTCTCCACAAGCTGTGAGAGGAAGGCCATTTTAGTAAATATAAACTTTTACAGCCTGATTTTAAAAATAAACTATACTTAGCAGCTACAGTATGTTAATTTATGAATGGTCCTTAAATGCATCAGGGCATGATAGCTGGAGGAAGTCAAGATTTTCACTACAAATCATATGATAATATTAGAATGCTTTAAAGAACTTTTTGAGCTTGAGTCACCAACTACTTTCATTTGATGGGAAATAGCAACTTGGACATTCTGCTGAACATCTCCTTTAGTTATTCAAAGAAAAAAACAAACAAACAGGTTTTAAGCAACCTGAGAGTAATAAATGCTCAGAGAACATTTGTGTTAACTATTTCTTTAAGGATGCAAGCCATTATGACTGATAACACCACTCTTACATGAGAAGACTTATAATATAAAGCTAAATATAACGGATAGACACTACCATTCAAAAATTTGGAATCAGAAAAGATTAATTTTTTTTAAAGAAATTAATTTTATAGAAATTGTATTCATCAAATTGATCAAAAGTGACAATAAAGTAATTTGTAATGTTGCAAAATATTTCAATTTCCTTAACAGTAAATGCTGTTCTTTTAAACTTTCTATTCATCAAAATATACTGTAAAAATGTATCACGGTTTCCAGAAAATACTAAGCAACACAATGGTTTGCAACATTAATAATAAAAAAATAAAATATATTCAATTTGAAAACAGTTACAGTATTTTAAATTGCAGTAAAATTGTAATAATTGTAATAATAAATGTAATAAAATTTCAATAAAATTGCACTGTTTTACTGTAGTTTTTATCAAAAAAACAAAACATTTTCAAATACATAAAAAAATTTTTTACCGACGGTAGTGTACCTATTCATTCTTTATACTTAATTTTATAAAACGGATAGTTCCGGTCCTTGATTCTGATTGGCTGAGCCGCGTTCGAAGCTGTTGTAAATTACTCTACAAACATACACCTTTGTTTACTCTGTGTAAACAGAGGTTGCCCTTGTCCTTGGCAACCACTTTGATGCAACCACAACTGTTTCTGAGGAACTACATTGTTTGGTGGAAAAATACTGTGTTTATTAATATCATTTCACTTTATTTGCTCTGTTTTATTTTGTGAAACCTTAATACGTATATAGAATAGCTGTTTTATATAAGCAATAAGACGTGGTTTACAGTGAATTTATAACAGCTAAGGGGGTCGTGCCTAACAAAGCCCCTTAGCTGTTATAAATTCACTGTAAACCATGGCTTCTTGGGGATTATTACTTTATTTTAGAATAACAGCACAGTTTAGAATAATATCACAATATTTTTGAATAAAACAGCCCTGCACACTTTTAAGGCAAGAGTTATGTTTATGTCCCCAAATTGTTTGACCAGCCTCGTCTGAACCTCTCTATCCAGGTTTACATGTTTTATATGCCAGAAACTATTCTCAAAACACAACAACGTGGCAACCTAAAGACGCACATCCTTGAAGAGGATATCCCTAAATCAACCCTAAAGCACAGTTGTGGCTGAATTTGGCATCCTGGAGGTAAAAATAAGGTAAGAACCAGGTTTGCATTTAATCCCATTTTAACTCAGCCATGTGCATGAACAACTGGTAAACTCTGTATAGAAATAAAGATGTTTTTGTCCATACAATGTCCAGTGTTGTTTTGAACCCCATTGACTTTCATTGTACAGACAAAAACAGATTCAACATTCTTTAAAATATCTTTTTTGTGTATTTCACACAGACTGAACCACAAAGCCTAACAATCACTGCTCTCTCAAAATACGAGGCCAGCCGATTATCGGGGTGAACGTGAGATCCAGCACTCTTCAGTGGGTCATGAACTCTAATGCACACCATGAGAGCCAAAATAAGTCAAACCAGGTCAAGATAAGTGGCGAAGATTTCCATAGAGGCTTTCAGCAGGAGGAATGAGTCATTGCTCAACCTCCACTAAACTAACACTTTACCTCCCTACTTCCCATTTATACACATTCATACTGATTTAGTGATGGGTGATAGCATTAGTTGGCCAGGATTTCTGTCACCCGAGCAAAAGGGAAAGAAATGTACTCCACCTACAGGATGTGACCTCAGTGGAATGCACTTTCACATATTTGTGAAACAGGAGTGATGATACACATGCATGAACTGGTCATATAAACACTTTCTGTCCTCATAAAGCACACAAAATGAGGTTATGGTGATTTAATAAAGAAACTGAGGTTTATGTGATAGACAAAAATGATCTGTAACACACACACACTTTCCTAATGTCTCTCATAGAGCTTTTTGAAGAGCTGAAGGGAAGTGTGGAGCTTCCTGGATGCTAAAATAATGGTCTTAAAAGGGGGAGAGGAACTGAGCTTTCTCAAGCTTTCCCGTACCTCCTGAAGCTTGTCGGACAATGCTGAAAGCACTCGACCCCAGAACTGCAGGTCTATCCCGGTCGTGTGGCTATCCAGCACCATGGGCAACTGAACACAGACAGAAAGAGAGACATTTGAGTTCATATTAACCTTACAGTTTGTGAAGCATATTAATGACCACAAATGTGCACAAACCAAGTAGAAATAGAATGTAGTCAAATACTGATTTCATTCATTTGAGTACATCATTCTAAACATGTTTTTAATACCTTTACATTATGATTTAAATACTAAAATTAAAAACTGTTAAAAAGTCAGTAAGATTTTTTAAAATGTTTTTGAAAGTAGTCTCTTATGCTCACCGAGGCTGCATTTATTTATTTAATCAAAACTACAGAAAAATAGAAATAATGTGAGATATTATTGCAGTTATATTATTGCAAAAATAACGTTTTAGCAACACAGTTACTAAAAATAACACAATTTTATATTTGAATTATTACTATTTTTTATTTATTTATTTTTATATGTAATGTAATACAATTTATTTTTTAATATAATTTTATTATGATTTTTAATTTGTATATATTTTAATGTATTTTTCCCCCTGTGATGGCAAAGCTGAATTTTCAGCAGCCTTTACTCCAGTCTTCAGTGTCGCACTCTAATATTATGATTTGGTGCTCAAGAAACATTTCTTATTATTATCAATGTTGAAAACAGTTGTACTGTTTAATATTTTTGTGAAAACTGATTTTGTTTTAGGATCTTCGTTGAATAAAAAGTTAATAAGAAATCTTTTGTGACATAAGTGTATTTACTGTTGATCAATTTAATGCATCCTTGCTGGACAAAAATATAAATTTATTTTGCAAATGGATGCTAAACACAATTTCTAAACTACACAGTCTCCTGAACATTTAAATGTTTTGAATATCTGTGCTTTGGAGAAAAAAAAAAGAAAGTAAATTTTACAAAAGAGGGGGGAACATGTTCCATTTTACTGCAAATGATTAATAGGTACATGTTACTCTAAAGGGGGAAAATGTTTTCATAATCATTCATCAAAATATAATAACTTGCTCTTCCTCTGAAATGACTTTCTATCGGCACCACTACAGGCAATACAGGCAAATTGATAATATTAAGCAAAAGCCAAAAAGCTCTCTGAGCAATGTTCTTGATTTATTGTGGCACATAAAGTCCACTTTTCACCATCCAATCAAACACCCAAAGAATAAACTCCCACCCTAAATGTTGCGATTATCTTGTTTCAGTCTGAACTATTACAGAAGTAAAGTAGATTGCGATCAGAGTCCCATGTTGACTTAAAAGCACTGGGCTTATGAAATTCTGAAGCAGATGAAAGCTAATTTTTAATGACTGTGTTTAATCACTGTACAGTGATATGGTCTCTAAAGACACAAGTAGAGAGATGCAAGATGAGCAGAAACTTTTTCCCCGAAACGTGAACATTATCACGAGAGAATGCAAAACTGCATAAAGAACAGAAACTGCTTTCTCAGCTGTCCTCATCACCTGAGGGAGTGTCTTCTTTAATCTCATTAGTAAATGAGGTCAAGCAGTGTGTCATCATGCTAACGCTACCATCTGCTTTAATCTAACCCTGAGTAAACCTCACAGACAGAGAGAGAGAGAGACTTATAAGTAGTGTTGTTTCAGCAGTGGTATTCATAGGCCTTCTAAAATCTAACAACAGGTAAGTAGGTCTGGCTCATGATCCGCATTCTTAGTTTAGTGCACCACCAGCAAACACTTATGATGTGTTTAGAACAGCTTTTCCATAATGCGTACAGCTACTGTATACTGCGTACTACAGTGGAGAACATAATGATTTACTGTTGAATCTAAGCTAAATATTTCCAATCTGTATGAAATATGTTTCAACTTTCTCTGCAACAAAATTGACTGGTTTTCTCTGCAGTGTCCATTTAGAGACATTTCAAAATCTAAGAACAATTTATGAGCTGGACCCACAACTGGGTTACAGTTGAACTGTTCTAAATCTATAAAATGTATAAAATAGCCTAACTATTCAATTTTATAACTACTCTATTATATTTAGAAATGTAAGTTATTATAATGATACACTCTTAAAAATAAAGGTGCTTAAATGGTTCTTCACATGCAGCGATGCCATAGAAGAGCCATTTTTGGTTAAACAGAAACATTCAGTCAAAGGTTCTTTAAAGAACAGTCTCTTTCTTACCTTTTTATAATCTGAAGAACCTTCTTTGGCCACAAAGAACCTCTTGTGAAACAGAAAGGTTCTTCAGATGTTAAAGGTTCTTTATGGAACCATTTAGAGAAAAAGGTTCTTCTATGGCATCGTGAAGCACCTTTATTTTTAAGAGTGTAGTGTAATTTAGTGTCAAATTATTTTTAAAAATCCTGTCAAAATATACACTGTCATTCAAAAGTTTGATAAAAATACAATAAAAGCAGTACTTTTTACATTACAAATGTCTTTACTGTTATACTTGATCAATTTAGCAGGGCTTTGCTAAATATAAGTTAAAGAGGTGGTTTACAGTTTTTTTTCTAGGCTTGATTGTGTTTATGGGGTGCAGTCTAACATGTGTAAATGCTTCGTTTAAAAAAAACATAATTTTTTACATAATTTACCTTTATTCTACACCTCTCTGTCCCTTCTCCCATAAACACGCTGATCATTTCCTGCTTTTACGAAGCCCCTCCCTCAGAAATATGTGATGGGCTCAGATTGGTTAGCTGGCCCAGTGTGTTGTGATTGGCTAAACCGCCTCTAGTGCACGTCTGAATGTCCTGCCCCTCACCTCAGTGGCATGTGCTCAGGTTGTATTGTAAACAATGGCGTCGTCTATATTGCTTATCAGTTTGAGCCCGATTGAGACGCAGAGGATATTAGTGAAGAGGAACGTGCAGACCCTGTGCAAGCATAGCTCATAATGGTATGTTTTTTGATTGTTGTTGTCTCATACTTTTAAATTTGCTGTTATTTGTAAATGCTACTGCTTCTGTTATCTTTTAAAATATATGGTTTTATTTAAAGCTGACTAAAGGTTTAATACAGTATGGCAACCGCAAGCGCGTCCATGTATAGCGCTTCTCATAGCTATGTGAAAATAAGTGTATAAATGGAACAGTTCATTGTTGTAACACTTTAGAATAATGGTCCGTTGTTAACAAGTAACTATGCAGGAAGTAATAGGTAGTACTACATTAACACTTAACTTAATACTATTAACTAATAGAGAAGCGAGATTAACTAAGCAGTAAGTAGTAGAAAATTTAGGACAAAGGTAGTTCCTTATTAGATATTTGATAATTATTAAACAAAAATATCCTCATTGAGAACTACTTGTGAACTATGACCAGTTAATAAAGAATAACCAATTAATTACTAATCACAACAGTAACGTCTTAAAAGTGAACAATTGGGCTCTTTGTGGAAACTCATTTATGAATTTGATATCCCCCAAATAAGTCGGCTACATTTTAAAATTGTGACTACTACTCTTACAAAAGGATGGATGTTCAAACTTAAACATAGAATAATAACAAAAATGAAAATTCATTTAAAAATGTTAATAATTAAGAAGTGATGCTGACAAGCTCATGATTGAATTAGTTCACAATTATGATATCTGCTTCGTGTCAGTTCAGTATGAATGTATCCTACTCCAAAAGACCTACTGGTAAAATAACACTAGTCGGCTACAGGTTGAAATTGTGACTACTACTCTTACCAAAGGATGGATGTTCAAACTTAAACATAGAATAATAATAAAATTGAAAATTCACTTAAAATGTTAATAATTAAGAAGTGATGCTGACAAGCTCATGATTGAATTAGTTCACAATTATGATATCTGCTTCGTGTCAGTTCAGTATGAATGTATCCTACTCCAAAAGACCTACTGGTAAGATAACACTAGGGCTTCACACAAATGCATGACTGTACAGTATTACGTCCTCGATCTTCTGCAGCCGTTGCTGGGAAAGGGCACACATGGCATTGTGGACCCCATACAGCCCTCCGCGACTGGGGAAGATGAGGAATCGCTCCAGAAGAGCCTGACTGCAGGCGATCTCTTTCAGAGTCAGATCTGGGACTCCATATGCAAACTGGAAACACAGGAGATGATTGTTAATGAAGAAGTAGTTCAGCATGTCCATGTTTTGGAAGAATTTGGTGAAAAATCTTTGAAATTTCTGACTTTTGACTGCAGAGTTTGGTATCTTGGCGAATCTGAGCACAATGTGAAACATTGCTAAGATGTTTTTGACACTCTAGAGGACATATATGAGATTACTGGGTTTTTTTTCTCAGACTTTGGTTATATTTGCTCTATATGTAATCTGCTGTCTGAACGAAAATAAATTGGATATTATCTCATTTGTGTTTTTTAGAGTAGTAATCTAGTTACAAGATCAAAAACAACTGTCTCAGCATGTTCTTGCAGAAATAAAAAAATTAATCTTCAGATGGCTTACGATCTGGTCTGACTCATCAAAAAGTGTCTTAAATTTGTCTTTAAGAAATCATTCAAATACAGGCATTTGGAAATATCTATACATTATTTATGGTGTGTTTCCCAATACGTTGTGTAGGATCAAAGCAGCCTACTTAAGAGTGCTTGAATCACTGAGACAATGGGCTACACCATAAATTAATCTGTGTGTGAGAGGCCAGCGTGAAACAAAAGAAGACGCATGTCACGAAGACACTGACATACAAACTCAGGAAGGACTCTTAGTGACTGTTAACACCACAAAACACCACATGAATCCACTAGATTTTGCTGGAAACATCTAGTAAATCCCCAAAGGAGAGTTTGAGGATGTGACTGTGTGACAGGATTCTGCTTGCAGTGGAAGCTGTTAAAGCATTTATGAAAACAAATGGCTCACAAGAGAAGGAAGCTAATGTGCTTTTTTAAAAAGCAGTTGCCTAAAAAGCCAAATTTGCAGTAACGTACTTGCTCCATCCGCACTTGTGCATTTGTAAGATCATACACCACAACCTCTGAAAGCCCAGCGTCCCGCAGCAGGAATGACGTTAGACCCTCGTCGTCCTTCAGAATGTGCTCTACCTTCAGTCCTTTACCTGATGGCACAAAGGAAAGGAAAGGACGTGGAGGGAAAAATAACATCATGTAAGAAAATGATAAAAAAATGTGTCACATGTAAGAAAATGTGTGTCCGTGCAAAACTCACCGCTGTTTTGGTTGCTATGTGTAAGCCTAAGTCAAATGGTTGTCAAGTTTGTTGGACTTATTTGAAATCATCAAAAAAAAAAACTAAATCCTTTAAAGCTTTACTTGAGACGCAAGTAAACAAATACAAATATTCCCTATTTCTGGCCTATCGGCAAAATGGAAGAATGCATTCCACTCCTTCTTAAATGAAGCACTCTTAACACTGCAGAAGTGTGCTGACCAGCGTGTAATGACTTTGACATATATTCATTTATAGGACAAACTGTGCTAACAAAGTGCTTGAATGGATCACTTGATTACTGAATTCTTTTCTGAAAGCTTTGTCGCTCAACAGGACTCTGGTGTGCTGAAAGGTCACGACATGAGAGTCGTGTGTGGAGAAAGTGCTCAACTAACCAACTCCAGTTAAAGGTGTTCAGAGGTAAACTACAGGGCTGTCCTTTTGGTTGACAATATGAAAATAAATATTTTACAAATATTAAACTATGACTTAAAAAGGTGTAAATGATGATGTGATGACAACTGAAAAAGTTTTTGGTCCTAATTGGTACTTGAACATTTCTATCAATACTCCCATAAAAAAGTTTGTGGTGCAAGACTTACTTTTTGTTTTGTTTTGTTGTTGTTTTCTTTTGTTGGTAACACTTCAGTGTAGGGACCAATTCTCACTATTATTTGGTTGCTTATTAGCATGCCTATTATTATATTGGTTATTTATTAGTACTTATAAAGCACATATTCTACATGAGCATATTCGACATCCCTAATCCTACTCAATATCTAAACTTAACAAACTATATTACTAACTATTAATAAGTATTAAATTAGGAGTTTACTGATAAATTTACTGCAAAATTTTGTAGTTAATAGTTTGTTAATGGTGAGAATTGGACCTTAAAATAAAGTGTGACCATTTTGGTTTTGTTTGTTATGGTTTGGTTTGATAAAAATGTGTCATTTGCTAAAAATGACAGTAATTCTTTTACATTGTTTAAACAAGATTTAACAACGTATGTTAATGCTGTTCTTTTAAACATTTTAAGAATCCTGAAAAACTGTGTTACAGGTTTCCACAAAAATATTAAGCAGCACAAATGTTTTCAACACTGATAATAATAAAAAAATAATAATAAAATGTTTTTTGAGCAGCGAACCAGCATATTAGAATGATTTCTGATAGATCATGTGACACTAAAAAATGTGGCTGCTTTAAAAAAAAAACACAGGAGTACATTACATTTTAATTTATATTATAGATTGTAATAATAATAATTGACAAAATTACTCTTTTTACTGTGTTTTTGAATTAAAAAAAATGCAGCCTTGGTGAATATAAGAGACTTCCAAAAATATAAAAAAGAATAATAAAAATAAATAAATAAATCTTACTGACCCCAAACTTCTGAACAGTAGTGTAATTATATTAAAAAGAGCAGCCAGGATATTTAACAAAATTTCACCTCATGTTCCACAGTGGAAGGAAAGTCATACAGGTTCCGTATGACATGAGAAATCATTTCCCTCTGATTTTATGGCTAACTCACGGCTAGAAGTATATTTTACAGGACAAACAAAATATGCTGATATGAGAATGTGTCCTATTTAAAAATTATCTCCATATATTAAGATTTTGGTTCTTAGACTTAGGTTCGCCCTGGACTAGTCAGGGAGGGCACAGGAAAAGGAAACAGGTATGAGGGGAGTGGAAGTACAAGAGAGGAAATGCCCACTCTCTCCATCCATCACTCAGATCCATTAAAGAGGTCCCATCAGTTCCTCTGAGGGCCGGGTTAATGGGTCAGACAGCACATGCTCCCCCTGCCCTACATACCTGTCACCAGAGCAGGATTGGTGCGTAGCGTCTCCATGAAGTTGCTCAAGACGGTGGCTTCATGCCACAGACGGCCGAGCTGACGGAACTCAGTGTCATTGAACAGCAGCTCCTGTGAATCTTGGTAAAACCGTGCCAGTCTAAAGAGGATAGAAAGAAATGAGCAACAACAATAAACTGGAACTTGGATTCAAACTAACTTAGTCCATTAAAGACAAACATCTCCCAACATTTTCCGGTATGAACTTGAAAAAAAAAAGTGTATCTATAATGCGATAAGACTAAATTTACAATCCCAACTGTTGGTTATCGAGCCGTTGGATGTCCTGCAAAACTCCTCTGCACTGGAAGAGTAATTTTTCCTCCTAACTGAATTGTGTCAGAGGAATATTTCTGGACGCCTACAACACAAAATGTGCAAGCTAGGAAAATCTTTCAGATTTGAGATGTGAAGGAGCGTCTGACTCACATGGAGTTGTGGTAGTTGGAAACGACCCCAGGCGACTCTCCTCGAGTTTGATGGCGAAAACATGGGTTATTAGCATTGCAGAAAATCCCTTGAATCCAAGGCAGGATTCCCGTTGAGGGCATAGCCTTGCTGGGAAAATGACCTGCATTTACAGATATGATGAGTAAGTCCTCAGGCACCTCACACAGATGCTAATGAACTTTCAAGCTGTCTTGTTTTTCTGAATACCATTATCAATAGCTGGCTGAGAGTGTGAAATTGTACAACCTAAAGTAACGATACTATAATGTTTATTCTTACATTCATGTTGGCGATACAGAGGATTGGCTCTTCGTAGCCACACAAGTCCAATGAATAAAAACACAGGCCACAGAATCTCAACCAGGAAGCGAATCTGTGTGCAAGTGACAAGAGAGCGGTTTGTTCAGAAACATGTCAGATCTGGACGTAGGATTTTAGTAATGATGAAAACAACACTTTACAAAAAAGCTCAAGTTGCATACCATGAACCAACAGTAATAAACAGTACTTTTCTACAGCATTTATTAGAGGGATAGTACACCCAAAAATGAACATTTTGTCATCATTTACTTGCCCTCATGTCGTTCCAAACCTGTAAGAGCTTCTTTCTTATGTTGAACATAAAAGAAGATATTTTGAAGAATGCTGGTAATGAAAGAGTTTATGGTACCCATTGACTTCCATAGTATTTCTTTCTAAGTCAATGGGGACCAACATCTGTTTGGTTCTTCAAAATTCTTCCAAATATCTTCTTTTGTGTTCAACATAAGAAAGAAACTTATACAGGTTTGGAACGACATGAGGGTGAGTAAATGATGGCAAAATTTTCATTTTGGGGTGAACTATTCCTTTAATGTAGTTCACTGTGAATTTCTACATGTTAATGCATTTATAACATTTCAAGTTGTACAAATTAATATACTAAAACTATCTCAATCAAAATTAAAATGTCAAAAACATACAATTAAGATGTAAACTGAATCTTATTTTTCCCCCATTCTCAACAATTATTGTATCGATTTCTATAATTTATTGTTTTATCAACACACTCAGTTTCTATTAATAAAAAAGGATGTTTTAAAACAAGCAGCTTTTGTAATAATTAACACAGAATTAAAGGAAATGTATGGGCCTAGATAAATGTTGTATTAAATTATTGTTCCATGTTATAAATATTGTTCCATGTGCATAAATAATGCATGAACCTTAAAGAACGTCTCGGTTACGTATGTAACCCTCGTTCCCTGAAGGAGGGAATGGAGACGTCATGTCGGAGGACAGACTAATTGGGATCTCGCTTAGAGGGACCAATCTACTTCGAGTGTAAACTAAACGAGCCAATGCACATTGGCATGCGATTATTGCATCCAGCTGCTGCTGATCACAGCGTGAGTATAAGTAGGCAGCAGATGCAGTGCATATTCAGGTTTTCGCTGAGGAGCCGAGCCGGTGACCCGGCCGCTCAGCGGTGGTACAGGAGCTGTGGCGACGTCACGTCGGAGGACCGACGAATTGGGATCCTACCAAAAGGCCACAGCTACCGCCCCTTCCAGTGTACTGTGGGAGCCATCTACGCCCCTACTTTTTGGCGTAGGCCAGGGCCTGCAGTTCACCACCTGATCCCTGAAGGGAGTAGCGGGAACCTTGGGCATGTAGCCGGGTCGGGGCCTCAGGGTTACCTGGGAATCAACCGGCCCGAACTCTAGGCATGAATCGTTGACCGAAAATGCGTGCAGGTCCCCTATCCTCGTGATGGAGGCCAATGCCAGCAGGAGCAAAGTCTTCATTGAAAGGAACTTCAGCCCCACCGCCTGCAAAGGCTCAAATGGGCCCTGCTGTAGTGCCGTGAGCACCAGACTCAGGTCCCAAGAGGGTATAGAGGGGGGCCGTGGAGGATTTAACCTTCTCGCCCCCTTAAGGAACCTAACGACCAAGTCATGCTTCCCCAACGACCTCCCTTCTACGGGGTCGTGATTAGCAGCGATTGTGGCGACATAAACTTTAAGGGAGGAGGGAGACAGCCTTCGCTCCAGCCCTTGCTGCAAAAAGGACGGCACAACTCCGATCGGGCATCTCCGGGGGTCTTCTCGGCGAGAAGAACACCACTCAACGAACAGGTTCCACTTCAAAGCGTAGGCGTGTCTCGTAGCCGGCGAGTTGCGATAAGCGATGGGAGCGCAGACCACCTTGTCGGTTGATGTACGCAACGGCCGCTGTGTTGTCCGTGCGGACCAGTACATGCTTGCCTCGTAAGCGCCCTTTGAGACGGCCCAGGGCAAGGTGCACTGCCAGCAACTCGAGGCAGTTGATGTGCCAGTGCAGTTGGGGCCCTGTCCAAACCCCTGACACTGCAAGCCCGTTGTACATGGCCCCCCAGCCGGTGGTTGAGGCATCCGTGCAAACCACAGCATGCCTGGAGACCTGCTCCAGGGGCACTCCGGTATGTCCGGTAACAACTCCATACCGAGAAAAGAGATCCTCTGCGTTGGGGAGAGTTTGCTCTTTTCCCAGTTGACCCGAAGGCCCAACAGGCTGAGGTGTGAAAGCACCAAGTCCCTGTGCTCGCACAACTGATCCTGAGACTGAGCGAGTATGAGCCAATCGTCGAGGTAGTTGAGAATGTGAATGCCCTGTTCTCTCATGGGAACAAGGGCTCCCTCAGTAACTTTCGTAAAGACACGGGGCGACAGGGACAGCCCGAAGGGAAGGACCTTGTACTGGTATGACTGCCCCTCGAACGCAAACTGCAGGAATGGCCTGTGGCACGGAAGGATCGAAACATGGAAGTACGCG